ATGTTCATCATTAAACATTAAAAAGGCAGTATATTTTATAAAAGCAGGATTGTTCTGTTGGACAAAAGTACACAACCTACCACCTTTATCATAAATATTTTAATTATGCAGGGATATTTTATGCATTTTATGCAGTTTTTACTGAAGATATTACTAATAGTATTAATAATGAATGACCTTGGACAAGCTGTAAGCTCGAAGTATTACCCTGGTCCACAACCAAAGTAGATAATAGGCATCTGGTACAATGTTATTATGTACAGTACATGGATAAAGCATTCTGATATTTTAAAAATCATAGCCATATGCGCTATAGCATAGTGCACTCTAATTGTGTTATGTTTGCAACATTCTCTTACAAGAAACATCCGCTGTGGATTTAGGCAACATATACTGTATGCTATTAAAACATACAGATAATGTAAAAAGTTCTATAATTCAACATTTAGAAACGAAATGACCTGTACGTTTGCAAAAACATATCATAGCTACTTAATGTAAGGTTTTCAACTTACTGTAATTTATCCAGGAATTTAAATGATGTATGTTAACAACATGCAGAAAAATGCTGTAATATACATATTTTGGTTCAGGTACTAAGAAATGAAAATGACTTTGGAAAAAAATGTCAACATAGTTTATGCCACTACATAAAGTGTGGTTGTACCTTAACATTATAGTTAACTAAAGAGTGCTACAATAATACTGTAGAGTGTTATAAATAATACTACAATTATATTTTTCAAACAAGAATGTTTCCATCTCATTGAAAGATATTTTCCACATGAGACAAATGACATTTACACCCAAATTACCAAAAAGGAAACATATTTAATTCAAATTATTAATTATGTGCAACACAAAAGTTCAAAACTAATTTCTAAATCATTTGAGCATATCAGTTCAGTTGAGAAAGATACTTCAGGTCAGAATTTCAAAACAATCACCTAGATCACACAGTATTTGCCTACTTGTACTTATACAACCATAAAAAAGTAGGTACTGTAAATAAATGATGGATGATATTCATAAACCTTTCTCTAGGATACTGTATTTCATCTGACTCTTAGGGCAAGCAAATGTACTAACCATTCATAATAAACTGGAAAAACAGAGCCAGGGAATCATAATGACTAATCATCCTCATCTCAAATGCATCTAAAGCTATGGGATAAAATAGCAAATCAGATCTTTGGTAGATAAATACGCATTGAGGCTGACTGTCCCATGCCAGAACTGCAATAACCATGGTTCTGCCACTACACAGGCCCTCCAACACTTGTAAAATAATTCAACTGGTGTGTATTAGTTTTTTTATACATGAGGGTGAATTTGAAATGAAATTGTCTCACGCAACTTTAACAAGTGGGTTTATTTGTGTACTACGTGTAAGACTATGGAAAATGGGGAGTGTGGGTCATCAGGTGAGGTGCGATGAGGTGAGGATAAAATTTCTGGTTGTAAATTTCAGCAGAGGTGGTTTGATAGTCATCTATCTCTGAATCAGTTTTAATATATCATTTTATTTAAGTCTTATTTAAGTATTGTTTTTTAAAAATAAAGACAGGAAACTCCCTTGGCATTACAGCCATCGTGGATTGTTTTATGAGTTGATGTCCCTAGAGTCACACTATCAGATGCAAGGATCTTGTACAGCATCCACAGTAAATGAAAGGCACAATCTACTTGTGCTAAATCCATCCAAACTTATCTACTTGATCTCTCTGATCACATAACTGGTGTCACAAAACGGACAAACTTCATGACTTTATGTAACGTATTTTGGACTTATAGAAATATTTTCATCAAGTACTACATTGAATACTAAATCTGCAAAGCTGCAAGACTCCAGGAAAATGATTAAATGAGAAGGGAGAAAGTAGTTTAAAAAGAATCATCACATTCTTCAACTAGACAATGTGGAGAATCAATCAAAATAAACAGGAAGAAAATAATGTTGGAATACAGTAAGAGCACAGAGCTTAAATCCAGATAAGTAAAATTAAAGATTGCATTAGTCTGACCTTGGAATATGGTGTGCAGTTTTGGTCTCCATTCTAAAAGGTTGTTGCTTAAGTACAAAGCAGCACCAACAGAGGGAATGTCATATTCAGGCAGACTAAGGGTTAATATTTCCAGTTAATATTTTTAACTGACAACAGAAGATTATAAGTGGACCTGACTCAGTTATTACAAATTCTGAAAGTCACCTAACCAAACCAACTTGGAAGACTTGAAAATTAGTAGAAACACAAGGAACCAGTGACTGAAGTAAAAATTAAGTTTACGACTAAGACCAAAAACAGGACAGTTTATTACACACAGAAATGTGGATGTTTGGAATGAATGTCTAGGACATGTGGTTAAAGCTGACATCATTGAATCCTTTAAGAAAGGAACTGATAGATGTCTTACAATCATATTGTTACTACTGTATACTATCTTGCTTGCTATACAAGCAAGATGGGCCCTTTGTTTGCAACCTTTATGTTAAACAAATTAACTAATTTGAATATGACAAGAGTCTTGTAAAAAAATATTGGCACTCACATTTTCTTTGAAATCCTTGAATGAAATGGTGAAAATTGTTGATAGATGAATAGTAAGAAATTTGTGCATGTAAATGATCTGTGACCTGCACATGCATAAAAGACACACAGGTTCACACTGCAACTATGCCAGGGCTTAATGACAAAGAGTGGCCTACAGAGCAAAATATACAAAGCATGTAACCCATATCATGTGTTGTCAATTAAAACGTTTATAAATAAAGCAATTCTATAAGCCAATTTTTATAGAATAACTCCTAATTCTTTATCCCATCTCATATTTATCTTGAATTTGGGCTTACTCTCTTTTTTCCAAGTTGCAATATTTATTAAATTTTCCTGTATTTAAGTTTTTTTTTTTAGAAAACATCTGATTTGAAATTTTCTAAATTTTGAAAACATTTCACATGGTTTGCTGAATAACATAATTAAATTAACCAATGAAAAAACAAATGGCACAGAGATATTATTAAACATGATTGTAGCAGCCATATCACTCTGCAACTCACAACTAGCAACCCACTAAAGCTCAGCAGGCGTGAGCCTGGTCAGTACCTGGATGGGAGACCTCCTGGGGAAAAACTAAGGCTGCTGCTGGAAGAGGTGCTAGTGGGGCCAGCAGGGGGTGCTCACCCTGCGGTCCATGTGGGTCCTAATGCCCTAGTATAGTGATGGGGACACTACACTGTAAATAGGTGCCGTCCTTTGGATGAGATGTAAAACTGAGTTCCTGACTCTCTCTGGTCATTAAAGATCCCAGGGCATTCCTCGAAAAGAGTAGGGGTGTAATCCCGGTGTCCTGGCCAAATTTCCCATTGGCCCTTACCAATCATGGCCTCCTAATAATCCCCCTCTATGAACTGGCTTCATTACTCTCTCTCCTCCCCACTGATAGCTGATGTGTGGTGAGGTACTGTACTGGTGCACTATGACTGCTGTTGCATCATCCAGGCGGATGCTGCACATTCGTGTTGGTGGAGGGGAGTCCCAATTTCCTGTAAAGCGCTTTGAATGGAGTGTCCAGAAAAGCACTGCATAAGTGTAAGCAATTATTATTATTAACTAAATCAATGAATAGGTAATAAAAATAATTATTTACAAAAAGAATTGTTAATTATTGTACCTGGTAGTACTGTACCTTGGTAGTGTTTTTAACTGAATTTAACATTTTCAATATTGACAGTATTGATCAACATAGAAAATAAAAATGTTCCACAAAAGCAAAAAGCTGCAGGAATGTTTAACAGATCTAGTATCAAGTATAAAGTATAAAGATCAAGTATAAGTTCAGAGAGCTCTGCACATAATTATGTATTTTTCCTTTTTATACTAACAGAAAAAAAACATGGCATGAGAAATCTTAATAACCTTGTTCATATTGCAATGGAAAATACTTTAGCATCCAATAAGAACAATAAAAAGGAGCAGGGATCACAAACAGTACATAATATTCAGTCATGAAAACTGCAACTTCAGTATATTTTGACAGTGAAATGTAGAATCCACCACAGTGACATTGATGAGTCATTAATGTGACATTTGCCAGATCTGACACATTACCTCAGTGACCCTGAGGATCAAATTAGTAACAGTACAATATGATGTGATGCATCTCACACAAATCTGAGCCAATATTTGCTGACTGCTTCAGGTGAAAATATGTTTTCTGGGATTCCTGGTGCGAAACAGTGCTTATATAATCCTTTGTGTCACCACACATTACTGTAAAATCTGTATACTGTTGAACAGACAGAAAAGCGTAGGGAAATAAGATAAAATATTTCTTTTCTTGACATGGTGTGTCACAGGTTTTACAACACAAAATGAAACACTGGCACCTGCAAGAAGGAGCAATATTTATTTGCAAATGTGAGGAAATCTTGACTAATAATTTTGCATGATAAAAAATAGCAGGAACTATCTGAAAATTCCCGACAGTCACATTCAGTTGCGTAACCTGTAACCTTCATTTTCTAGGGTAATATTATTAATCATAAACACATATTGTCTTACAGGTCTCACTGTAAAGGGTAGCTTCCACTGTCACCAGCCATAGGAACAGGATGATGGAAATATTTGAGCAAGTTCATAAGCAAATGATTAATGCAAACGATACTAGAAATTAAGTACCATTTACTGTACATTTCCCTATAATTCTAGCCACCAATTCATAGTTAAAATAAATAATTTTTATTATTTTATCAAAATGATTACAGGCTACTGTAAATGCATTAAAGGTCCAATTGTATAAACTGCAAAACTTACCTTAAAACTACCTTAAGAGTTATTTTTACAACTAGACACTAAAACTTTATTGGACTATATAATTTTACAATTAGCAATTAAGTTCCTAATGTTTTATTACATATTATTACAGAATATCACCTTAGGGAGATACACAAACACAGCAGTTGAACCATTGCAATGGAGTAAGTGCTTATTATTACTTACTCTTCTTTTCCACTTTATTCTTTGACTTATTTGAAAGGCAGGGACAATACCCAGGGCACTTCATTGAGATCTGTTTCCCTGAAATACATGCTTGGTATTCCAACTTGCACTAAAAGACAAAATAAGAAAGAAAAAAAAGGGTTAACTAGAAAAGCAATACGGAATGATTGCATCTGACTGTGAATTCAAACTGAATTGTTGGACTTAATAACTTATTGGTAACCAGAAAGCTTTTCTATGGTACAATTCTTTAATCATAAAATAAAATCTGTTCATGCAGACAGGGAAATATTCATAGAGTATTGCAAGTGTTTTTTAATAAAACAATTAAAAGTTTATAAATAGACTGAAAAAGGAAGCAATTTTTGACATTATAATACATTACAATTTTATATGCAATTGTTTAAATGAGGGATATAATGAATGTGATCATTCTTAATAGAATCACTGAGAGCAAGATACACACTTCATGTACTGCCAGAACACTTGTTTGTTTAATACACAAAAAATATATAACTCTCTCATTAAAAAGAATATTCAGTTCTGGAGACAATGCATTTATTCTGCATTTTTATTCAATAATATTTGAATAACTTAAGTATTTTATACACATTCCTAAAGCTTGTTAGTACTTTGGATTTATCCATGTAGAGTTTCCATTATCAGGAAACTGCTAATGCTGGTGAGGGATGCCTGGCAAGACCAAGCAAATACTGTACTGTATGACTACTCTCTCGCTGGATGGAATACCAGTCCAGACTACTATTTCCAACCAGTAAAAAAAGTCCTAAGGCATTCAAGACTATATATACATACACTACATAAATATAGTATATAGTCCTATGAGGTATTCAGGTTAGTATTATTAAAACTGCACATGTGGTATGTGACCAGCCAGTAATGTGTTTAGACAAGGCTGACTGTCACTGATCAAATCACTGAAAGAGATTTCCAAGTTGGTCCTCAGGGGCTTCCAAAAGATTCGGTTTCATTAGAAGTAGTAGTAGTTAGCATTTATTTTATGATTTACACCATCATCTCATCACGATTGTGTGTAGGACCACATGAAAAAAAGAATGTAATTCACTTTTTTTAATTCATCCCACCAGTAAATCTTTAATACAAATTAATTTAATGACTATTAGAAAATACAGTACCTATGAAAGTAAAACAAAATATATGAATACCATGTCTGTAGAAATGCTTTAATACACATAGTAGAATGCGTTTTTAAAACATACCTTACTTATTCTATCAATATTTCAGTTGCAGCATTTTGGTGTACTACGTACAGTACATTATTTTTTAATGGACATTATTACTGAAAACTAGGTAAAGACCGGTTTTATCAGTCTCATGCAATATTTGTTTCACATTTACTTGTTTATGAAATCATAACTCCTAATAGTGATTACTGGCCAAAGCACAATCCTTGGGGAAAATGCTTTTATAAAAAGGGGTACTGCTGCGGGATGCTAAACATTTTATGCTATGGGATTTTTTTTTCTTCTCCCAACTGCCACATGTCCAATCACTACAGCAAAAACCCTCTCTAGGTTCTTTTAAAACATCAGCAGCTGATAACCCTTGAAAGGTGTTAAGTTGGTTCAGATATTCCACTGATAGGATCAATTTGGTCATTAACAGAAGAGGTAGAATGGAGACCTACAGCCATTACGGTTCATCAGGACTTCCAGGTATTGAACACTACTGACTTAAAGGGGATTTTAGTGGTTCACATTTGTCTGGATGTCTTAATGGTTTATTTTTTGCAGATTTCTAACATAATTAAATCACTCACAACTTTATTATTTAATGAGGAAATACTGTATTTTTTTCACATGGCAAGTTTTTCAACTAATTAATGTTAAGTGATAGAAAATCTGTGATACCAAATGTGTTTATCCTGATGAAGGCATTTTTGAGCTGAAATATTTACAGTGTATAAAAAATTACTATGAATTACAGAGTACGCATCCACTTTTTCTTTACAGTATATCGTTTTAAATGGTTCATGCTTCGTCAGCAAATTCCACTTCTCAATCTGTTGGAATTGTAAATTAAAATAAAAAAAATCACTTGCTTTGGGTGCTGTTTTTATTTCAAATCAATCTCTTGACAAAAGTCACACAACAGAACATTAGGGCTTCATTAATGAAAAACACAATTCGATTACAAAAATAATTATTTACACTTTTTAATTACTTTATCAGTCTCATACAGGACAGAAAGTATAAACACTAGGTCTGCTCTTGGCGCTATAACTCATCCTGCCCTTTCTTAATTTAGAGTGTTTGTTTTTTAAATGTATAAATTTACTTTTAATAACACTATCTAAAGGCAATGTGCGATGGTCAGATAGGTAATGTCACAATAAGAAAATGATTTAAACATCAGCAGCTTTAAATGGATACATGGTACAGCAAGTGGAAATCAACACCATCCAGAGTAGGACTTGGTGACAAATAAAAACTGCATGTTCCCTTTGAGAAGCAGAGAAGCAGAGAAGCAGAGCAGCAGCCTGCAATTTTAAAATACTATATTCTCAGTATCAGTAAACGGCTTTAATAATCTGCAAGAGCTGTTTTTTTTCCTTTATAACTTCGTAAGTCATTGAGATGAAATAACACAGCGCTCTTGTGTCAACATTTGTATCCCACAGGTAAAGGCAATTTAGAGCCTTTTTCTCTGCCATATGTATTTTTGAGATTGAAGTCATGACATGGAAAATGATAATCCTTTCATAAAATGACTGTCCCCCATCCTCAACTGCCGTTAGAAATCGGAACAAAGTGGTTCCTGTCTGATCTTTTAAACCATTTTTCACTGGCACATGGACAGCTCATAGGCAGGCTCATGGGTAAAATCTCTCTCATACACCATCTATTAGAAAGATGATAGAGTATACTTCTGACAGCAGAAGCAATAGTCCAGCCTTAAGCCAATAAATGTGCACCAGAGGAATAAATGTATTTTTAAATCCTTTAAGTTAGCGATAATCCTACTGGTAGTAACTCTTCTTAAGAATCACTCCAGTGCTCATTTGGCCTGACCCTTTATCATTAATGTCAAATGGAAGCTGATGAAATTTGTTGTACATAAAGCAGAAAGGAAACTTGTCTCTAGGAAACAACATTTCCCATCATATAACAAAGCTGAGAAAAGAATTGTTCTAAGGACATCAGGCTTATCCTCTAAAAAACATCACATATGCTTGAGCAAATATTTGATAACTGAAGTTAAAACAAGCAAGTATTTCTCATAGTGGTATATACTGATACATTTACTGTATATAATACATGATGTACACAAATTACATTGTTTACATCAGGGGTGTCAAAGTCTCTTTAAAGCTGCAATTGGCTGAAGAGCTCTGAGAAGCTGTTAAATTAGTCCAGTTAAGCCAGAAACAGGTTTAGTTTGTTAAGGATTGAGTTGGAATGAAATCCCACAAACACACAGACCCTCCAGGTTTACTTCAAGGTAACAGAAGTGAAAAAAAAGGAAGAGGAAAAAATAAACATGTACTGTACATTAAAGTCCTTGAAATGTACAATATGTACAGGATCAAAAGAAAAGCCTACATTTTCTGAGAGAATTTTAATGGTTAAAATCATTAACATGTTAATAAATAAATGCTATAATCTGAAAAAGAAATCTTGTCAGGATTTCTATTTTTAATTGTATTCTATTCTTTTCTTTTTTACAAAATATAATTTTTATTTACAGTACACATTCTCATTTAAGACTGTTATTTTCCATCTTTTAAGATCAATTAAATCTTACAGTCCTACCCATATAAAGGTTGTCAGTGCAAAAAAACTGTATTTTTTTGTTTTTATACAGCATGTTAAAATAAATGCAGCACAATTCACATGGTAACTTCTGGATCCAAAAAGCACTTCTTGCATACAAAACAAAATATACACATAAACTGTAAAAAGGCATTGGCCAGTATTTTCTTCAGGAATTATCCTTTTGTTTGTGACTTTAGTCTAGTTAAAATATTTCAAAAGTATACCCATATCTTCAAACACCAGCATCCACTCAAACAGCTATCCTCTTCCTTACAGTATAGTATCCTGATCATACAGTCCCATCTTACTTTAATTTGCACAGTTTATTAATTTTGAATATAATCTTCACTAAATGCAGTATTTGAAGAAGGTGAAAAATGAATGAATGATGTTAAATGAATTCTTTAGGACACCTGTTTTCTGTGCAGGGACTCATGTATTTGCAGGTCACATCTTGGTCTATTACAAGGGAAAGTTCCTTTTAAATATTAGCAGAGGGACACATCTCACTTTCGACCAAGATACACAACAAAGACGAGCAATCTAGGCATTCAAGTAATCTAGTGATTGACCAGTCGGGTCTAAAATATGCAGCGCCATACTATATTTACTTCCAACAGAATTTAGTTACATTATTATACCGTATGTCCATCATGTTTGACTTATACCACATCTTTGAATAATAGGGAGGAATATGTCATGTCATTGTAGAACTTGTTCTCCATTCATGTTCAACTTATTTCCATTTTTGCCCATTGCATTCTAACTGGGTTCTGCCAGTTCCCTATCTTTATTCTTCATTCATATTCATTTGCACTCTGTCACAGTGCTAATCTGATTGCAGGTGCAGAAAGACGGGTTAATAAAATTCTTGACATACACCACTTTATTTGTCACTAATGTCCCCACTTATCCAGAGTTTACAGCCATGTTAGTCACAATATAGCAGGATTACGGCTGCAATTCATTTTGCACTTATTCCACAAAGCCCAGTAATGCAGATGCAGAAAGTGTCTTGAGATTTTTTCTTCAATCCATGCGATTTGAGGGTCTATGTTTGCTCCTGGCCATAAGGACAAGGAAGTATAAACCCCCTTCTATCTACAAATCACGAGCCTCTTGCATTGGGGAGCAGCTGGAGAGAATGGAGGATATGTTAAAATGACAAATGCTGGGAAACAATGGTCTAGAAACCTGTATTTATACCTCCAAACCGGCAGGATTGAGGTCTTGTTCTCCTAAACCTTCTTTAGGAACTTGCGTTTAATGTGTCTTAATGTAGACCAAAGCTCAAAATTCAGTCTAGTTTACCAATCCAGCTGACATTCCAGTTTTGATGAAGTCTGTCTCCATGGTTTGGTCCAAAAATGGTCAAAGCATATTTTTTAAAACTAAATTTATAACCTTCAGACTAGAAGAAAAATGAAGCTCAAGTATAACATTTTAAATAATACTTTACAATACCCTGGAGAGACTATTTGCCTGATGCATAAAACATGTTAAATGTTGTATAGAAAATCAAACTATATAGAGTAATACAATATTTGCTCCATATGTATTTGCTGTATATGTAAACGTGGCACATAGCATCTCTTTAATTGAATGGTTTCAATATTTTCTGTATTTTGCAACTATGCCGCATCTTTATTCACCTTTGTGGAGTAGGTATGGCCGTCTGTTCCACAAACCGGAGAAGGATGGACAAATGAACATTGCTTGCATTTTGAAGATCCTGGCTTCTGCGTAAGCACCCCTTCTTTCATACTGGATAAGAGAGAGAAAGAAATCAAAATCACTCTTGCCCATTTGACAAAGCTATTTCAGCACCTGCAAAGTTTATATTTTCGCTTTACTTTTTATTTTTTTTACACAGTTGAGATGTAAGTTTCTGGCTAAGATGTTTGACAGCCCTTTTAATATTTACACAGCTAAGGAATACAAAGAATGATATAGCATTAGAATGTGTGACTTGAGTAGTTAAGAGTTTTACATTTAGTTACAGACATCGGTTCATAGGCAAATTTAACCGGTGAAATAAATTACTCTGAACAATAAGTGAAAGACAGTGATATTAATGAAAAAAGTGGCTTCCGTGTATAGAGAGCAGGAAAGGAAAATATCAACTTTAAAATGTCATTCCGACTTAAGCAGATTGAAGTTAAAGAGGATTCTCAGAGGAGGTAAAAAGGGCAGGGCCTCTATAAAAATCTTAAGTCTTAAATCAAGAAGTATTGGTTTAAATATTGAGCAACGCTGGCTCTCTGAAATAAAAAGGATTTAGAAAATGAATAGAAGAGCAGGCAGGCCAGGATACTGTTGAAGGGGGACACAAAGAGTGGTATGCTGGGTAAGAGAATTCTGTCATGATGCAGAGCTGTACTTGGTGAACACTAGAGATGCCACTGGATTAAAAGTGTGAGCATGCATACTAAAAGAGAGACAGATGGTTTCTCTGTTTTATTTAATATTACCAGAAATGTGTCAGGTATGTTTTAATACCCAAGGCTGGAACACATGGTAGGCTAATTAGATACTTGCACATACAGTACTTTGGCCAGGCTAAAAATAAGCTTATCATTTATTCTTGATAATTGAGTTCTTTTATAGGCTGTTGAATACTTTCCTCTCATAAAATATTCAGGAAATGCTTTAGGAAGTCCGTTTACAACACTAGACTCACAAATAAAGTTTTGTCATTTCCCTGCAGGACATGCAGATCATTCTTAACTTTGGCGACTTAATATTCAAAGCTAGAGAGCTAGAATTTGTAATATGTAAGTTCGAGAAACTGACTGAAATAGCAAAGATCCTGTAGCCTCTAAAAGGAAAATACATTCTGGTGAAAACATTTTTTGGTGTGTGTGGTTCAGGAAAGTTCACTCTTTTTCTTGACTGATGTTCAGCTTGTTTTCAAGCAGTGCATTTTAACATGAAAAAATAAATAAAACTGAGATCTTAGGGGGCTCCATTAGATGTAGTTTACAAGGTTATCCATTTTTATTAGGGAGACTGAAAGAAAGAACATTCGTAGAAAAAAATTATTGCTAGAAATTGAAACAGGGTTTCAAAACACTTTTTCAACACCCACTTAAATGTCTGTCAGTATTGAGCAGAAATATCTACAGTACAGTATACTACTGGAGCACACTAATATTAGGGGGTTATGAAAATCAGTTTAAACAGGCTATATACAGTACCAAAGAACCGGCCTCACAGCTGTTTTTTTCTTCAATTAAAATGAATTAATTATGTAGCACATTATTGTTACAGGCTTTCAAACAAAAGCATCTTTGTTTCTTAAAATTATGAAACAACAATAAAAAAATAGTTTTTTTTTCTAATGTCAGAAAGATTTGTTCCCCATCAACCAGAATTAATAGGCCCTCATATTAAGAATGTTGACACTTTTTCACAACCAATGACACATTAACTGCAGCTTCTGAGGAAAAAAACAGAAAATACTTTTGAACTCAGGTTAACAGACTAATACGGACAAAATAACAATCATTATTGCTGAGTGTCCGTTAATTGCGAATGTCTTTTGTTAGCTCATAAACACACTATTTTATGAGAAAAGAAGTATATATATATACACCATACAGTATATAGTTTTTAAATTGTTTGGCTTTTTTCTTAATAATTGCCATCAATTGCCATTAAAGTTATTTAATGTGTTTTATACTGTAAAACATTTGTTAAAACGTACTGTACAAAACACAAGCATCACCCACCACAGGCAACTGGCCTACTGTATCCTTATTGGGTACCATCAATATTCCTAATTTTAAACTTGATTTTTATGTTTTTATGTTTTTTTTACATATTGTTTGCATTTCAGTTTAATTTTAAAATATTGTTTTGTAAAAAAAGCTAAGGCAGTCAAAACAGAAACAATACCCACGGTAAGCAATTCGCCTACCCCCTGTTACAAGCATGGCTATTTCCCCATTATTGCCGGCTTCCTTTGTGAAGTTAACTTTCTTTACTTCAACTGCCTGTAGTCCAAATAAGGGACAACAGGTAGAAGTCTGATACACAAACACATACAGTACAGCGTTACTCCATCTCAACACTAGTAAGCCCAGAGAGGAAACAAAACACATGTACAGTACTGTAGGTTCCTCCTATTTTCGTATACTCTAAAACAATTGCTCTACCCTACAGGGCATCACTGATATCCATGCCTTTTAGGTCTGTTTAAAGGTATGCTGTACCAAGGCTGTTATTTATTGTTTTATTATTTTATTGTGTCTGTATTGTGGGCAAGTTCAGCATTTTTGATTGTGCAGACCATATTCTCCTTCAGTGTTTTTTGCCCGTTAAATCTGAAGTCTGTTAAAGCGAAGATCGCTAAACCGAGAGTTTACTGTATTATGGATTTCAACAGTTGAATTTGAATGTCCGACCATTTTTCTAAAAGTCTTCTCTCCTGCCCATGTTGTTACCCTGTATAGGACTGCATAGTGCATTAGCCGTAATGCCAGGTAAACATTTATCCCTGAGCCATTATCATATAGTTTATTTCCTATTTACAAGGAAAAATAACCAAGTCCTTAATCCTGATTTTGTTTGTGTTCAAAATCATTTGCCAAACAGACTGAGAGTACAATCAGTATATTTTGTTTGCAACTAAACTAGCTGTTCAGAATGAAGTGAAGTGACCCTTAATCTAATAATTTAATCTAATCTGTGTAAAGTTAATAACTAAACAAAGTATGTAAAGACAGTAATTTAAATAAGGTGAAAGAGTAGCCACCACTGACTGCTTTAAATTATATTAAACGTCTTAATTATATATCTTTGGCTTAATTTAATCTCAAGAGTAAAAAATATTCTCCAAAACAGACAGATTTATAATTACAAAAACACTTAGATTAAAGTAATTAGAGGTTTTCTACAAATTACATGGAACCACAGTTCTTGAATTTACAGTGGTATCAAAGTATTCACCCCCCTTGGACCTTTTCACATTTTACAGTAGGGATTTTCGCATTTGTGATTGGGATGTTTTGTCACTGTTTGACACAAACACTCTAAATCAAAGTGAAAACAAGATTCTACAGAATGTCTACAACATTAATCAGGATTTATTTTATCATAAATATGAGTAAGCCAGTTCCAGAGGGAACCAAGTTTTCCAAAACATGACATTACCTCTAAAATTCTTCTGAATTTCTCTTACTCCAACACTCTCCTAACCCAACTTTGTAATGCTGAGAAAATTATAGTCTGGATTTTCCATTCTACAACAAGATTTACAACTTGCTGTACACTGCTTTTGATTCTGTTGTCTCAGTCTCTGTGAACTGTGTATTTATATACCTTCATTCTGGTGCTTGTTGGTGGTTTTGCTGATAATTTCTTAGGGTTTTCCTTGACAGCTCTGATACTTTTTCTGTCATCAACAACAGATGTTTTTCTTGGCTGACCCAGTCTTGGCTGAATCACAATCATACTTACTGTATGGTTTCCTTCATCTTCAGAATATTACAAATCATTAACTTTGGTGAGTCCTGTTTTTATGGTGTGGTTCTGATTGACTTTTCCCTTTCTTTCAGCTTCAAAATTGCCTGACTTCAACAGAATTTGTTCAGTTTTCATTTTGACTTTCAAATACAGAACTGAAGTCAAGGCACTGCAGGTTGATAGGATGGTCACACATGTCAGCCAGCACTTTCACTCCTTCATTATAAAGCAGTTCCATGCTAGCATGTGAATTGACATGAAAAGGTTAAGGGGTCTGAATGGACTTTATTTAAAAATAACATACTGAGGAGTTGTTTTTCATGAGAAATGATTGTTATTAGAGTTCATGCAAAAATACTGTACCAGTTTAGACTTCAGAATCCCAATACTTTTGGAGAACACTGTACATTCATAGATTCATTCGCAGACGCATTGGTGGCCATTTTGAAACACCAATTAACCTGGCAATGTGTCTATGCATTGTGGGAGGAAACCGGACCTGTTCATCTCTTAAATATTTAAAATATCAATTTTGTTAGTGCAGCATATCCTACTTGGCCATTATTGAATAACCTTAAAGTACATGTTTGTAGTGTTATTAGTCACATACCAGTTTGTTATTGAAAACAGATGTTTCAGGAATTCTTAGATTTTATAAATTCCATAAATCATAAAACACTACCAGCAAGAAGACATAAATACTTAATACTATTTAACAAAACCAGGTTTTCAATAATTTAATCTCTTAGTGTATAAAAGTGATGGTTTTTTAATAGTGAAATTTAACTTCACAATCACTGGTTATACAGGGAATCAAGCAGTGCACATAAAAAACATAGATGATAAGAAAATGATCATATATAGCATATATTAGTTAAATATAACAAGTAAAAATTGAGAGATTACATGGTTTTGCTGAAATACAACAAAAGATGACATTTCATAACTATTGATTCTAATGCTCAGATTTACACAGGTTATTATTTCAACACAGTTGTTCAGGTCTAGGTCACTGTGATGGACAGTCTTGTGTCAATTTTCAGTGATATGTTATCACAGCCATTACTCAACACCATCATGGTACTATTATGAGATTTAAACACGCTTGTGTATTGGAAAATCGATGAAACAATAGATGTGCATGACAGATGACTGTCCTTTTTATCAAAGCTGCAAGGAAATGTATTCTGATCCATAAGCACCATGCTGATGAGTGAAAATATGTACTGTTTCTTCCTCACAGTTCACATTTAATATACATTTTGTCTTATATACTAATAGCTGAGAATATAGATCTC